GTTTAAAAAGTCAAAGTTGGGCATATCATTTTGTACCAAATTCACAATAATATTGTTTGCCACTTATGTTTATTTATTAATTTTTAAGATTTTCCAATCAATTAAAATGCAGTTCATTCCCTAACAAATACCATATAAACCTAAGCTTAAGATTTTGTAGAACACTTAAAAAATCATCATAATTTCAAACTTTTTTTCCAGAAGAGTATACAGTTTTTTAGCCCATTCAATTTTAGTGTAATAATGTGCAAGTTTCAAGTGGCTAAAAGCATGATAAAAATATAGTAAGGTAGAACCGCTGAGAGTCACTTTTAAAATTCTTGACGTTTCCAAACAATTTAATTTTTAAATTTACTCACAAACTCACACACACATTTTCATTTTCAATCTCAAGCAACAACAATTTCGAACAATTTCAATTTTTTATTTTCACTTTTATATGATTTTAAAATGTTGGCAAACATCAAAAAAAAAATCATGGCCGACAAATTGAGAGAACGGTTCTACCTTGCTATGTTTTTATCATAGCTAAAAGTTACCGTTGATTTTTTAGAATTTGTTTACCGAAGGTGTGTGGCGCTGCTACTGAATTTCAAAATACTTAAATATTTTAAGGAATTTTAAAAGAGCACTTAAAAGGGAAAAATTATAAGTAAAATTGTAAATGGGGCATGATAAATTGAGGTACTAAGGCGGGTTGGGTACATAAGCTGGGAGGTATTTAAGAGAGGGATTTTCTTCAGAATACATTAAAAAATGCATGGTGTCCAAAAATGTTGGTTACTTAAGCGGGTTAGGCACTTAAGCGGGGGGTACTTAAGCGGGTTTCACTGTATTTAAAATTTTTATGTTTGATGGACAAACATAAATAATACATAAATATGAAATTTGAGCTTGAATTCACACATACACATATCAAAATTCTCTATAAAAAGAAGTAATATATTTCTTTTTTGAAAATATTCCATTTCAAAAAAAAATTTAAAAAAAGCACAATGGTAACTCTGAGTATTGCGCAATATTTAAGTACAGTATTACGGGGTGCACTCTATAAAAATTTGAGTTTTGGATTTTTTTTACACCGAAGTTGAGTTAATTGAGTAGATTACAAATTTCAAATTTTTTTAAATTTTTAGAATTTTTTTGAGTATGCAGTTTTGTAGCAAGTTTTATACTTCTGCAAAATTGCGTTGATTTTTATTATTTTTTATGCTGACGGCTTTTTGTAGTTTTTCTTATGGAAGAAAATGCGCAAAATCGCTTTCAAAGAAAATTAAAAAAAAAAAATTAATGCCAGGTTTGCAATCGCTCTAAGCTTGCACTTTATTATACTAAAATTTAATGGGCTACAAAACAGCATACTCAAAAAAATTCAAAAAAAAAAATTGTAAATATGTAATGTACGCTTTTTACTCAACTTCGGTAACAAGAAATTCATAACTCAAATTATTGTAGAGTGCACCCCATAATACTATACTTAAAAATTGCGCAATACTCAGAGCTACAATTGTGATTTTTTAAAATTTTTTTTTGAAATGACATATTTTCTAAAACTAAATGTGTATGTGAAAAATTTTTCAAGAACAAATTTTTTTAATATTTATTTTCATACAGAATTTTGATATGTGTATGTGTGATTTTTTTCTCGAGATATTATAAGTTAAGTTTTTAAAAATGTATTAATCAAGCTCAAATTTCATATTTATTTATCATTTATGTTTATGCATCAACCCTTAAAATTTTCCGTCCGTCTTGGTATGGAACACCCCATACATAGATATGGCTTAAAACGACGTGACCACATCCCTTTTAAAATTTTTCAAATCGAAAGTGACCTACAATGCTGAACAAAATCTTGGTTAACCAATCATCGGTTACACTACACTGCGTCAGAGAAGGGCAAAGTGGCACTTAAGAGCCGACTTGGCACATTTGCTAGATGAGGGGAACATTAAGAGCCAGCATGAAGGGGAAGAAGACCGTATTCAAATTTCTTGTACTCCGACTCTCATTACCCTGAGAACTGTTCGCCGCGTAGTTCTTGCTGGATCTTTGACTGCTCTAAGTGCCAAAACTTTGCCCATCCCTGAACTAGGTCAATTAGATCATTACAGCTCATATACACGATATTTAAAACTTCAATATCTGAACGTGAATTCTTTGTTTTTACCATAGTATAGGTTTTTGGAATAGCCTCCCATGGAAACTGAGACTTATAAGTGAAAAGCACCAAGCATTTTAAAAGCGAGTTATGTATATAAGCTTCATGCCTAACGAACTTTAATTTCTATTCAATTATCTTTCCGTTTACCCTTCCCTACTTAATTATCTTCTCACCTACATACATATGTATGTACAGGGTGGCGACAAATAACTGTAACCAGGGCGTTTTCTTTAATAAATGGACCTTTATAGATTTTGGGAAAAAAGTATTTCACTGTTAATTTTCCACAGATTTCACTTTAAATTTATTAATTAGTTTTAAAAGTTTGGCCCCTATTTGGGTTTACTAGCGGTATACACCTTGAGAGAAAACCCCAAGCGGCACGCAAGTCTTCGTCGGTCAATTTATTCCAAATCTTCTGTAACCGTATGCAAGTTTCCTCCATTTTGAGTCCTTTATACGTCCGTTGGACAAAGGTCCAACATAAGGCTTCATACTCCGAAATCGAATATACTCGGAACTGGTGACTAGGAAGTCCCTTTATTCGAGCAAACCTATACAGTTTTTCTTTTTGTCTTTTTATAAAAATCTTTTTTTAATAGAGTCTGAGAAAAATACAACTGAAAATGACTTACGTTTTGGTTTTGGTACTTCTCTGTTGTAAGCAAATTTTATGTATACCTTAGATTTAAGCAGTTATCTTGAACAGTTTTGCAAATAACATCTTACGTTTTGAAATATTAAATATTTGAAAAATCCTTTGCAAATTGATGTATCGAAAAATATCGATGTACATAAATTTCGATGCATCGAATCAAAGAAATACATCGATGTGTTTTTGCCACTGACATATCTACCTTAAAAGCACAAAGTACATTTATAAATTACAGCAAAACTGTTTAATAGATGCCACTTTCCAATTCCTATAAACAATTGCTCGCTAATTCCGAAAATGGACTCAATTTTTTATACTACGGATATGTTTGCAAGATATTTTTAATTTACCGTTGTTCAGCTTAAAACAAAAAGTGGTTACACTTAATCACAAATATGTTACGAACCAATTTAACAATCTTAATAAAAAATATTTTTTTTTTATGACATAAATATGAGCATAAAAGCGTACTATTTAGGTGTGCATGGTGTATGAGTAACATTATTTTCTGCTAATTTCTCATACAAAAAAATCTCTGCACATTTTCATTTGACCACTTATTACTTCTTTATTTATCCAGTTGAAGTTGAAAGGCCGTACACACCAGGCGATTTTTGCTTTCGTCTAAAAGTTACCTCATGTGAACACCATATTAGTAACTTGATTTGTTTATAACAGAACAGGCTTTAGCATAACTGCAAAAATTGGACACAGAACCTGTTTTTTAATTTTTCTCTTGTTAAAATTTGATTTTTTTTATTTTGTTCATAAAAAAACTGAAATGATTAATTAATTTGTCAGAAACCATCAGTCCTATCGGCGTCTGGAGAATATAAACCAGATTAAAATTTGTGATCCAGTGTTATTGTTGTTTTTCCAGAAGTTCCAAAGTTTCCAAAGTTTTCATTAAAAACGCCCTCAAGCTCAATAAAATTGTTGAATTTAAAAGCACGAAGTATGTAAATGCAAACCACATTAAACACAAAACAGCTNAGAAAAAATCCGGGCTGTTTCGGGCAGGACGAAGAAGACACGATCCAATGCGTACCAATTTTCGCTCACTATATTACCCTTTTTATTCAGTACGAGAATGATTTCTGGGCTGGTTTGGGACCCCTAGTTGAGTACGGGAAAGAACCTAATATGAAGCATGATTTAATCTGCTGGAAACTCCGTATTTATGTTCTTAATGGAACTCCACAAACAAAAAAAAATACCAAAAGGTGAAACAGTCGAGATATTTGGAAAATCCGGAAATGGAAAGAAATAACTCCAGAAAATGTTTATTCGTTAGTTGAAGCGAGGGTATATTTTTCTTTTTTTATTACCCACTAATAAAATCTTGTCTTTAAAATTATGATTTTTTTAATTAAATACTTGCTTAATATGTAGACAACTACCTCATTATTAAGTATCTTCTCGTTATTATTATTATTTTTGTCTTTTTTATCTCCATCCATGAACCCTTTCGGAACTGAGGAACAATTAGGAAGTCGTAAAGTTTATTCAAATTCCTTCAAAGTCCCTTACTGATTTGCTTGCACTTTTAATAAACAAAACAAAAGCAAAGAAAGCATGCCTCGAAATTTCATAATTGAATCTAAGATGATGCCATCGCGTGTAAAAGCTGCAGATGTGTGGGTAGATTTCAGAGCTTATGTAAACCATCCACTCGATAACAAAAAAAAAAAAACAATCAAAAAGTGTACTCTTCTCTACCTAACCCCCGAGGCTCCACACGCTTGTTATGTAATGATTTTCTGGAGTACAAATAACCGAGTGAGTAAAATAGATCAATGACCCACCGTCACACAAAACCACAAAAAGAAGAACAGTTCAATAACAAGAGGACTTTAATACGCTTAGTACCTTTGCTAATCGAATTTCTCATACTTCATTAAATTAGTTCAGTGAATGACACTTAATCGTAGCTACCTTCGCTTCGATTAAAAATTATCACTCACCTTTTCTGTGTAAATAGCTGTCTGCTTGCGTTGTGTGTCGGTATGTATCCTGTGGGGGCGCTTTGTGCGACCAAAATTAGGTGAGTAGGTTTCTCGGCTCGTCTTATTGCGATGGTTTAATGCGTTAATCGGATGTTGTTGTTGTGTTCGTTTTGGTTTTATGCAAGTTGACTCAAAGTGAACTGAAAGCGTAAACGAAATAATTCGATTTTTTTCACTTCAACAAGAATTTTTTTTTGGTTTTTTTATTTAATTTTTTTTTTTTAATTTTCGTTGTAGCAACGCGTTTTTTACTCTTCTTTACGACAACTTTTTTGGGGTTGTGCTCACGTTGTTCGCTTATCACTCACGCACTCGCTTGCTCTTTATCGCATATACACACTCTCTCTGTTGCCGTTATATTAGTAGGCACTAGTACTACTACTATTTCTTGTGCGGCTGTATGTAAGTAGGTGCGTGCGCGTGTACCTACTGCTGATACAGAATTTTTCGTAGTTTTTTTTTCGATTTTTCGACTGTCGAATCAATTTAGATTTTGCGCTAATGAAAATCACCGTTAAATGTGTGCTTTTATATGTTAGAACACCCACATACATACATATATATGCATATGCATGTATGTATGTATATACAAGAGTTAAAAATTTTTCCTCGAATTTAACACTCGACTTACTTTAAACTAAAGCGAAATTGTAACGCTTTTTCAACTTTTAAATAATTTTTTTATTTTGTAATAAATTCAATAATTTTTTTCAATTTTTTCTGAACCAAAACTTTAACCAAATTTTATGGTAAAAAATTTTAGAGCTTTAATTTATCCGCTTTCTTTCCGAAATGAACTGACTACAACGGTGAAGAAATTTTCACTGAGTGAAAAGTGTTTTACGGTTTTCAATGGTATCCAAGTATCTACAAAAATTGCGTTACATGCTCAATGTGCAGAGCGAGAAGAAGTGCGCCAGAGAGTTGACTGCGACGTTTGCTCTCCGCTACCCCTAGTATATTGAGTTAGTGTCGTTATTAAAAACCGGTTACTTTTCAGGGCATTTAATAGGAAGTTAAAATTATGTTGAGGTAACTAAAAATGCAAAAAATCAACCATTGCGTAAATACTAAAATTAAAAATTCTTAAACCTGCAAAAAAAAAAAAAAATAAAATAATAAAATAAATAAATTAATGCCACTCGTCCATTGTCCACAGATAACCATTTCCATAACTATCCTTAAAATACACGTTTTCACGCATACTAACTCAAAGCCGGAAAAAGAAATCAAAAAACAAAAACCATACACAGGCGTACATACAAAACAATTGTGCCAATGCTCATTCCAAAGTTGACTACCTTTTTGAATCACTCGCTCAGTGCCTACCTCTGGGCGCAGGTCCTTTGTCTTTTCTCATTCTGCGCGCTAGTTCTTATCGATTCAATGAAATTGTTACGCTCTCACGCTGTCATCCTTTTTTAATTTGTATTATTTATATTTTTGTTGTTCTTATGTATTTTGTTGTTGTTTTTTTTTGTACCCCTAGTGGTTTCTCTTTTGGCTTACGCTGTTCTTACAATTTCTTTTATCATTTTTGCAGTACCCCAAAGCTAACCGAAAGAAATGCCAAAATAAAAAGTCGAATGAGAATTGAGCAGAGTTATGCGCGGCTACTTGACAGCGTGCGTAAACAACGAACCCCTTTTAGGTGGTTGGTTTAGGTCTTGTTGAGAAAGAGGTGGAGGAAAATTCATAGTAGAATGTATTAACAATGGTACTGTGTGCTACATATGTATGCATGTAAGTAGGCACATACAAACATACATATGTACATTCCATAATTGTATCCACGCGGTTGTGGCACGCACGCATCATTTGGAGTATGGTATGTTGCATATACAGAGGTACATAACGCAAAAGCACGTATCCAAGACAGTGTTGCCAGAATTTTTTCGTGAATTATCTCCCAAGTGAAGCTTTAATTTACAAAAATAAAAATAAAAATAAAAAATAAAAACTTTACATACATACGATATAACAATTAAACACAAATTAACAAAATTTTGGAATGTATCCCAAACAGATAGGATTTAACTAGATTAACCAGTATTTTTTATGAATTTAATGCACGCATAACAATTGCAAAAAGTTGCAGGAAGAAGAAGTAGATTTATAGTATGATGAATATAAATACATATACATATTTGGGGCATCTTTTTGGGTGCTCCCCAAAATTCATTTAATCTTTAAAAATAGTTCGACGGTGCAATTGAAAGCTCATTTCATCTACACTGCCGGAACAAAGTATTGGCACAGCAAATTTTTCCCAATATATGCAACAATTTTTACGCTAATATTTTTCCGCCAATTTTGTATAAAAATATAGTTCATTCAACAAAAAAAAAAAAACATAAAAATATTATTTCTAAACTTCAACTTTTTAATCAGACTTTTTAGAATTTTTTTGAGTATGCAGTTTTGCAGCCCATTAAATTCTAGTAAAAAATGCAAGTTCGGAGTTAGTCAAAAAGCTCATTGATTTTTGTGATTTTTTTTTTTGTTGACGGTGTTTTGCATTTTATCCATATCGTCGCTCGAATAAAGAAACAGTGTAAATTCCACATACACTATTATTCGATAATTGCACCATTGGATAGACAATCCTTTAATCTATTAGAAAAATCTTTAGTTTTCTTAAATATCTCTTTGGCTCACTAATTTATTCCCGAAAAACGAAATTGTATTTGTATGGTTTGTAATGGTTTATAAAAACTTCCAATTCGTTTTTCTCAAAAGTATACTTTTCATGTTACACTATTTCATTATTCCAGCGACGATATAAAGTATGTTCAAAAAAATTGTTTGTATGGAAGAGACTGCGTGAAAAAAATTGCCAAAAATCAATGGTAATTCCTTGCTACTTAAAACTTGCACTTTATTGCATATTTTTATACGAAATCAGCAGAAAAATATTAGAATGAAAATTGTTGCATATATTGTGTACGACAGTGTACATAATTTTGGATACCGTGTGGTAATTTCATTAAATCAAAATGGCGAAAAAATACGATATTTAAAATGTAAAAAGTAAAATAAAAATGTCATCGTATGCTACGAAAAATTTTGCGTTGAGTACTTTCTTGATTAGAAAATAATTCATAAATATTCGAAATTTTTGTATTTCGTGAGCTTAAACTACGAAAACCCAAAAATAAAAAATTTCGAAAAATAAAAATCCTTACATATTTTGCATAAATTTACAAAAATCTAAAAAATACATAGATACAAATAATTAATGACAAAATTAATTTTTATAAAGTAATGAAAACTTTTTAACTTAATTTCTATAAGCTTATGTTTCAAAAAAAGATAGTTGATTCAACAACTAAATTCACAACTATAAAACTTCTAAACTTTGTAAAAACTCAGAATTCAATAAATTTTCTAAAAAATTTGCAACATTCTGATTATAAGTAAAAGTATTAGATTAACGTATCGTATATTACAACATTACAAAAAAAAAAAATAGTAAAACATAGAAAAGTTAAAGAAGTCAATGTAATCATATGCAAGAATTTTCAACTCATCGAGAAGTTGTTTGCGATCATCACCTTCATATTTTTCATATTTCGAATAGAGGTTTTTATTACCAATTATGTCGATGTCATCGGCATACGCTTGCAAGTGCACCATGCTAATGTAGTAACTTGTTTATGAGCGGTTCAGTTCTGCAGCTCTTATTCTGTTCTTCAACATCGAATTAAGGAAATCACATGAAAGAGAGTCGCCCTGTCTGAAACCCCGTTAGGTGGCAAACTACTCGGAGAGGTCTCTCCCAATTCTTATGGAGCTGGTGGTATTGCTCAACGTCATTTTACACAGCCATATCAATTTTGTGGGGATGCCAAATTCAGGCATCGCCGCATATACATAGGTAACTCCCTTTAGTGCTGTCGAAAGCGGATTTGAAGTCGACAAATATGTGGTGTGTGTCGATCCTTTTCTCGTGAGTCTCCGATCGTGGCCCTATAGGCGGCATCCTTCTTCTCTTAAAATGTTTTAATATATACATGTAACTTAATTTCCACTTGAATACATTTTTTGAAACTCTATTTCGTTTCCCTGTGGGTAATCATTAGTTAAAAGAATATAACCTTAACCGGTCTATTCTGCGCTGGTAATAAAAATTTTGTAACCGGTAAATAAAGTTCCTGTAAATTTTTAAATCATTTTCGTGCTCTCTTGTAACCGGTAAATTTGGTTGCTATCTCATAAGCTTGTACCAAAATATTGCATCGTGAAATATGCAATACCAGAATTTGCACAAATCTTCATAGCTGAATTTCTGAATATTTTGAGCGCATTAACATTTTTTTAAAATTATCGCTCACGTGTAGAATAGACCTGTAAGTAGTGGTTTCCATCTTGTTACCAATTTAACGAGACAAATGAAAAATAAAAGGATTTTATTTAGAAGCCCAACTGCGAACCATATATTACAAGGTGATCCATTTCAACGAAGTAATGTTCAGATTAGTTATAAACTTATGATAAATTTCGTTTATTTTATGACAACACTTTTTAATTTATACAAAAATATGTATGCACATAGACATATAATTGACACAACCATAAAAACAAAATAAGATATACAACTGCGCTGAAAATAATAGCAGCAAAATTCAAAATGATGCAGTTGGAACTTACCTTTATTTATTTTCAATAATTTTCATTTAAAATATGAGTCGATCTACATCAGATACCACGTAAATAAAAGTTTTAAGGCTTGCAGAAAGTTCACAAAAACTAATTAAAGTTAAAAAATTTCAATTTTTTTAATTAGATTTTCTAGAAGGATGCAGCTCATTTTAATATAATAAAGTGCCAGTTTCAAGTCGCTAAAAATTACCATTGATTTTTTTATATTTTTTTTTTGTTGAGGGTGTTGCGCATTTTCTTCAATATAAAAGTCAGTTTAAATCACAAAAAAAAATTTTAAAAAAGCAACGGTAATTTTTAATTATATTTCTCTTACAGAGTTGCATGCAATAATGCTTACTAATGACCTACTCACAATAGACGCGTCAAAGCATGACGATGTTGGGTAGAAATTTTCAGGTTGAAATGAATAATGAAGTTGTCGAAAATTCGGCAAAAAAACTTGTCCCGGCGGAACATTTCAAATTTAATGCAAAATACGGGACGTCCCGGCAAACAGGAGACATTTGGCAACACTAATCCTTGCAGCTACACCTACGTACTAAAACCCCTCCACAGACCACGCTCCCTGCGGCACACACTGTTTAGCCCATATGGAGGCAGGTGGAAATAATAGTTAACCTGCACCGATTTCGCTGAAACTTGACATGTACTCTAATTTTACTTAGGAACTAGAAATTATGATATTTGGTTAGGATGGGATAATTTCCACGACCTCCACTCTTGTGGGCGGAAACATTAAATTTCATTCGATTTCGATGAAATTAAGTTTTTATTCTCTTTTTTATTAGAAAACCTTAAATATAAAATACGGGGAAGATTGGATCATTTTAGCATCTACAACTCGCAAAATATGTGGGCCCAATCAATAAATGTGATGGAATTATGGTTAATTTTTTTTTTATCTAGAGAGAGAGATATAACTGGTTGTGGATTTAATGTGTATAATCTCGAAGAAAAAAAATTTGCTTGAATTGGATGTAATTCCTATGAATTGATTTATGCAAAAAAAGCGCTCATAAATTTTTTTTGCGTTGATCGCACTTTAGACCTAGTTGTGCGATATGTTCTAAATCAGTTAAATTTCTGTTGTTCGGTTCGATGTTGACACACAAATATATAGACCAATATCTTTTTGGAGCCTCCAAATTGCAAACGGATTTT